TACCACCTTGTTAAACTAGTACAAACTACGTATCGCTGAGTTTCCACTGTTTTAATATCTGTCTAACAACAATGTTGTCAGTCCCATTAAAAAAAAAACTTTCATTTTGTCTTGTATGCCGATTAAATGTAAAACTATTTTTAAAACTAGTTGTTGCCCGCGATTTTGTCCACGCAATGTTAAGATAAAACAAGTAGCCTAGAATATGCCTGTCAATGTCAGCTACCCTACAGTGAAAGTTGTGTCGAAATCGGTCCTGCCGTTTCTGAGATTACCCGGAACAAACACAGCTTGTGGACATACAGACAGACATAGTTCTAATGCAGTTTAATATTATCGTTAAAAAAGTTTTGTATATTTTAATGATCATTTAGAAATAACCTAAAACCCGAATGAAAAACATGGTTCTAAAACTTTAAAATAAACTTTCGTCAAACCGCTCTTTTCCACTTTTCTCTCAGCATTTTAAGCAATTTATATACGAGTGCAAGATGAATCTCGCAGACTCAAATCCACGATATCCCGCAAGCTCATTACTTTAGTTTCACTTATATTACTTCTCTACTTTCACTAACAAATGCAACCGAGCATCTGAATTAATAAAAAGCTGTACTATTTTCATCAAAACACGGCGGTTAGACGTCTGACCTATAATGTTAAGACAATCGTGAATTTAAAACTATAGTTTCTAAAACATTTTTCCCACATTTTCCTTTAGACTTTATAACAAAATAAGCTGCTAGAGTAATTAACACGTTAATAGACTTTATACGTCATACGAGAGGAACATTTAATTGCAACCCTCGACTTTCCGCAATCAATGCCGTTTCACGCGTTGCGTTGCTTCGTGCAGAACTGGAATAGATTTTCAGCCACGAATTCGCTATGTTTAAACGCTGCTCCACTGAAATCTATATAGTTTTCAAATATAACTGAAAAGGCAACAAAAAGGTTACACTGTTAACTACTATTTTATACAAGGTTCTTGACTCTAAGCGTGCATATCTTTGACTAAACAATTACAAGAATTTTGTACGATTGCAGATTGTTTCGCAGCCAATACAACTGTTTAGTTGTACAACTAACAATCAAGTAGAGTGCGCTTATACGCTCATAGGAATTAAAACGAGACTGAGCAGTGTTAGATGCGCAGGCTCTAACATTCCGGTAAAAAAGTATATTTTGTTTAAAGAGTAATCGTTATTAAATTTTAATTGATCAGATAACAAGACTTATAATGTCAATATCGTGTCATAATGAAGGGAAAATTAAAGATAAATCAAGGGATACGACCCAAATTTGATGGCGACCTACATTCGTGAGGCGGAAGCTTCTTTCAGAAATAATGGGACAATAGATTCAATTTGTGCAAGTACGGATCTCTCGAATTCCAGACGAATATTCTACTACTTATGTATAAGAAAGTTGGTGTTTTTCTTAGAAATGACATTTCTATAACTTAAGTTTATCACTATCTTAGCAGTATCATATATGCGATTTAAGACGGATGTATAGATGTTTGTTAGATTTTGTAGCCGAAACTGCTGAACGAATATCAATAAAATTTGGCATAGTTGTAGAGCATAGTCTGAAGAACACATAGGCTACTAACTTTTGTTTTTTTTTTCTTTATAAATCCACGCGGACGGAGTTGTGGACGAAAGCTAGTTGTAAAATAATTCTGCTTGGTTTTTCAAAGATTAATCAAAGTTACATTAATGTAGTTATTTAAATTCGAATATTGCAGGAACATCTGTGGAATCCCACGATACGTCTTATGAACCTTTATCCTGCTTGTAAAATATACAAAAAAATAAATTAAAGAAGGTCCTTATCCTGTCCTGCTTCCATTTTAAAAAGGGTCACCAAAATGCTCCCTTTTCAACATCTTTCTATCAACTGTCATCTAAACAAACGCACCTTTAATAAAAATAGAGTTCATGAAACATAATACAAAGGTAAGTAAACGGAAAAGCACTTAACATTGACATCACAATCGAGTTCTGAAGCCTCTAATATGAGACAGGATTGACAGCAACACATACTATGTCAGAGAGTAAAATTTAAAGCCGATTTTAGCTCTTTGTATTAAGTCTGGTTTATAGTTAAAATCAGAAGCTATTAGTACAATAATAACATGATATTAAAAGTGTTCTATAAATGAATTTAAATGTCAACATCAAAACTACTTTTTCACTTAAAAATCTACATTACAGTTAGAGTAATTCCGTATCAAAGATAGAAGATAAAAATAATTTATTACTGTTTTCACCCGCGACTCCATCCGCGTGGAATTAAAAAATCAAAAGCATAGCCTATGTATTCTTTCAGATGTAGAGGCCTATTTATTGACCGTTTCAAACACAAACATCACGCCATCTGAACTTTCGTATTTATAACATTAGTAAGATTTATAAGTATACGGGGTTTTAATATATCTTCATTTTTTAAATGTGTTTGCACTGACACTATCTAATAATTATCAAAGAACATCAGTCTTCATTAGTAAGTAACTTTTGACACGACAGTAATGAGAGATCTTAAGTTCCGTTGAGCTTATTACCGTTTACAAACTTTGTAGCCTAATTTTGTTTGAGAGTAAGTTATCTATTTAATTAATCCAATATTTGTGTATTGCATACTATACTAACATTTACTAATGCTTGAAATGAAAATCTATACTATTATAATAAAGAGGAAAGATTTGTATTTTTGTATGTAATAACTCAAAAACTACAGGGCCGATTTTAAAAATTCTTGAACCATTAGAAAGGTAATTTATCTGTGAGTAACATATGCTATATTTTAACGCGGGCTAAGTCGCGAGCAATAGTTAGTGTGATATAAATTAAATTATAAAACGCGATATAAATATTTGAATCGCCAAATTTAGAATAAAACATTCCATCAAGAAGATATTAATAATCAGAGAAATACTAATTTGTTATATAAAAGTGGATAATCGAAATGCAGTATATTATGGTAATATCGTGATTGCATGAAAAATGCAAAACTCTGGTCATTTTCCTACTTTAGTTTAGTTGACTAAGTTTAGAAAATTGATGAAAGAAAATCTATTGTAATTATTATATTAGGATAAAAATAATTAAAAAACAAATATGTTTACATTGTATTTTTATAAGTCCTTAATTTATCTCTACGAAAAAAAAACACGTCTCATTGTATGAAGACTACATAATAAGATTTCAAACTGTGCATAAGATATTTCTAGTTTCTCATAATTTTATAAAGTTCCTATTATCTTAAGATATAATTTATTCCGCAATATTCAACTCTCCGGTATAATTTTATTCATAAAGTTTAAGTTAGTTTTAGAAGTTAAGCAACGCATCTATAGAGTTATGAATTTTAATTATTACGTACCATGCAACAATACGAGATAATGTGTTTTACACTAACTTGCTTTTTTATAAATCTAACTGTTGCTCGTGACTTCGCTCGCGCGGTATTAAAAAAATATATCCTATGTTACTCACAGATAAATTACCTTTCTAAACATGAAAGAATTTTTAAAATCGGCCCAGTAGTTTTTGAGTTATTTGAATAAATAAAAATACAAATCTTTCCTCATTATAATATTAGTACAGATTACTAAAACTAGTCATTAAGTTGTAAGGATATTAAGTCACTATTAAGACACCAGTAATTTCAGATATGGAACAAAAAAACTAAATATATCCGCAACCTTATACCCTATTGCACATATAAGCGGACGCTATTTTTCCTATATTAAGCCTCCCAGTCTTGCCTTGTACTAAAAAAAGTCAGTCAAAGTATTGCAACACAGAGAGAAAGTTTATTTCGTTTGAATAGACACGAAGTTCTTAGCGCTGTTTACAAAGTTAAATAGTCCATTCGTTATGAAGCATAGAAAGATTTCCAAATGACGGCCAGCAACGAGTCCGATGGACAAACTTTTGTGGACAAATGCGAAAAGTTAAGGGGAACAGTTAACTAAGCGAAACTGTCTAATGTAAAGCATCCTGCGCACCGTCCATATGGGAATTAGTGCTCCGATGCTAATTATTCTTTGTTTAGGACAAATATATTTGAATTTAAAATATAATTCCCTTAAATCATGCGTTGTTTTTACGTGATTTGTCGAGGATTGTTGGCATATTCCTAATCCAGCAGATGTTATTAACCTTTCCATAAACAATGACACAAAAGTCTGATCTGTTATTTTACGGCATTCAACATTAGTATTATAGTTATTAAAAGAAAAAGATATAAAAATTTAGATCTATTGCAGAGACTTTATTCGAGGATAAAACTCTCTGAGGTATCCTTTCAAGTTTAACAAAATGCCAGATACTTTTAGCGTTCCTAGAGCATAATATACTTTAGTATTCAGCTTAATAACTCTAAGTGTAATAACACTTTTACTTGCTTTTAACAATTGTACAAGTTAGTTGACGTAAATACGAGTATATTTGCATATTACATTATTTACTTATCTACTACGTAATTTGTCAGTAACTTTCCTTTATTTTAAAATGTAAATTTGCAGAACACCTTGTCACAGAAAACAAATGAAGGTAAGATAGGGTGTTTAGAAGAATAATACGGTGGTAACGAGTAACGAGCGATGTTGGCTCGCGGCCAAAAGGCATGGCGCCAAAATTTACAGACCTGTTGATTAATTGTTATAAACTGTGAAACTGACTAATTGTCAACACCAACATGTTGATAGCAACAACAAGGTTTACATTTTTTCATTAATAAGAGAAATAAACAAAATTAGGCTAGTTGCGTTGGCGCAGCGACCCGAAGTGGGTCTTGGCCCGGTTTCGTAACAAAGACAAAATTAAAGTTAATTATTTAGTACATAAAGATTCTTAAGTTGCCGTCTACAAAACTGGGTTTAAAAAAATTGATGAAAAGAAAAACATCCTTGTATTCTGTTTAGATTTCGAAACACAGACGTATATATGATACCCTATAAACACAAACATAGTTATTTCTAATATGTTACTTACCTGGACATGGTACGGGGCTACCTTCTCTTCTCCTTTAATCTCCACGTTGATATGTAACCTGATGGCTCCTGATACCGCTGATTTATCTGTCCTCTTCTCTAAGTTGTACCAGACGTCCATTTCTCCTGATAGTGTTCGAACCTGGTACAAAGATAACCTTTTAGTATAAAGACTATTTGAATAAATCTTAAACACATTTACATATTCCACATGGGAGATTAATATTTTAAGAATGTTGGATGGGTATTTACTGCTTATTATAGAAAATTTACCTCAATGATAGTCTGTCCCAAGAAATCGTCGGACTCTCTTGTCAATTTCTGTCGTAGTTTGGATTTGAGGTCGTTGTCTTCGTCCCATACTCTCACTTTGATGCGATCCGAGGAATTGTGGCATTCACTGAAAATTAAAACTCATTAGAAGCTGCATAGTTTTTAGTTGAGTCGTCTTTTTAAACTCTGGTAGCTATTTCCCCTATAAAGTATTTAGCCATGTGTAAATTTTTGCCTTTTAGAGCTTTGATTTCATTTTACTAAAATATACTAAGTACTTACAAATAAAACTTTTCATTCCAAACTGGATTTAATTCTTGTGGCATTGTTCTCGTTCTCTTCTTAACTTTGCTGACTTGAACAGTTACGTAAGGGTCGGAGGTGCCGCTCTTGTCTTTTGCGATGAGCCCTTGAGCACAAATCACTGCACAAAAAGGTACTTAATTAGTATTACGTAATGTACAATCTGCAACATAATAAAATGGTAAACATTGTAAAAAAGTATTGTTTCTTTATATTAGACAATGAAATGCCACAAAAATCTAATTTAAAATTTTGCAACATACATAATATTGTACGAAAAATAATGTTGATTATGCCTATTAAGTGACATTTAGTTTATTTGAGTCATAACTTTAACTTAGATATAGTTATTAGAAATTGAATTCAATTATTTCATATTCATATTTAAAATACAGTTCTATAACGCTATGAGATAAATCTCAAAAGTCCTGATACATTTAATAATTCTCTTTACTTATAGAAATTTTTCCAACCCAATATTTTACAATCCTTGTTAATCCATAAAACCATGTTTCCAGTAAAATATTGGATTGGTTAATTCAAATTTTGCTCCAATTTGTTACAATTGTTCAGGTTCAAAATTAAAATCTAAACAATCGTAATTGTGATTATTTAAATTAATATGAAGTATAGCATTGAAGAACATAATTAAATCTATTTCATACTTACGAACCAACTCGACCTGTAATATCTACCGTCTGGATACCCTGAGATTAATGGTTCTGGGATGAAAGAAGACTCTAGCATCAAATCTACCAAATTTTTTCTAAAAAAATATACCCAAATTGAAATTCTATATCAACTCGATTATAGCGACTACGTAATCGCAACAACTAATGCAAACTTCGACCAAGAAGAAAGTTCCAAAGTAACAAGTGTAAAGTATGCTCGGGTTTTATATCTAATGGCCTCGGAATTTACACGAATCGAAAGTTTCGCTGCGGTCAAATTGGAAAGTATGCAAATAATACGGGAATTTCCTTATAACTGTGCCGGGGGTTTAAAGTCTTGCATGCTTTCGGATTCTAATTCTCAACCATTCTCCTATTGCGAAAGAAAACTACTCGTGTTATTAGGTTTTTCATACGTATCACGATCTGAAATTACAGGATCAATTACGAACTTTAATTTTCAATATTATCAACTAAAAATTGAAAATCGTGTGCAGTCAAGTTGGGTTTGAAAATTACATGCAATTTCGTGTTCTTTTTATTAGAAAGGTTGGAAGTGTTAGTGTTACATTATGTTATATCAAAACGTGTGTTGCTCAAAGTGTTTATAGAATTTTGTGTGCAAGCAATTTGTCTTTTCAATAATTGTAGTCATGTGTTAGATTCGTGGAATTTCCTTTGTGTGATGAGTTAAGCTATTTTCGTTATAAGTGAGTGGAGGCAGTGCGCTAACGTCTGTGAATGGGTTTGGATTTTAAACTGAAGTAAATTTGCATAGACATTTTTGACATCTGCTAGTAGACTGTTTTTTTACTTTCCTCGTAAACTTTGCAGTTACTTACATATGAAAGTTAATTATTAGGAGAATCATGAAAAGTCGCAAATATAGCAGATGTCAAAAAAACTTTGTATGGAAGTCAGGCGAAGATTTTGTCTAATAGAGCGAAATCTGCGAGCGTGCGGTTCGTAGCCGCAAAAGACCACGCAAACCTGTAATGGCGATTTTGCAGGACCATTTCGAAGTCCCTTCTATAGTGACCTGCTCGGCCTGTTCGAGGCTGTCTATGTGAGTGTCGGGGTCGACGCTAAAAGTCCGCCTGGTCGCCACATGAAATAAAAGAGAACCAATTTAGAGTTCGCACACGACGATTGGTTGTCTGGATCGTCGCTGACTCCGCTGCGCTGCACGCCATCTAATGGAGGGTTAAAGTGTTAGTTGACGCCACATCATCGAACCTGTGATAGCGATCTTGGCGCTCCACTTGGACGTTCCATCGAGTACCGACTGCTTCACCGTGCTCATGTGTGCCGAATGCCCCTCCCCTTCGATGCTGAACACGCGTCTGTCACATACACACACTTTATACATCGTCAAATTAGACTCTTCTAGGACTTCAATTTAATCTTCTTGAAATAGGTTAAATAGTACATGTTCATATAGCTTTCAAATTTCTTTTAAGAAATCAATTAAAATATAAAATTATAATTAAATCTATGTTATGTTACCTGTAGTCAAAAACAGAAATTTCTACTTTACCTCTGTTCATTAAAAACATCTGATTTGATTAAGTATTGCTATGATCAAAGAAATATCAGTGAGCTAATTTTCTTAGGTAATGAAATTGGATAGAAATAACGGTTCAATGGAAAGTCCATACCTGATTAATTCGAAAATCTCAGGTTTGTCCCGTTCCCTTTGTTTCATTCTCTCCTTCATGGCGGTTATGATCGAGTTGGCTTTGTCCTCCGCGCCGTGTTTGGACGACTTCTCAGCAGCCCCTGCGAAACACACTGCTCAGGCGGTGCAAACATAGTTCTTGTGCGGGATGCGCCGGGACGGGCCCCCGCCCCGCGTTCAGGCCTGCCACGACAACTCGATAGCCACAACGTCACCAGATACCGATTCGTTTACTTCAAATGTGGAGAGTAGTATCAACTCTAAACCCCAATATACTGAATAGTGACTGTATCAGCTCTAGTAACGATGAGAACTTCAAGCGGCGCCAGCCGAAGCAAACCCGAGCACTGCGCCTTGTTAAAATAATTTACAGTCTAATTTTATTTTAATAATATATCTTACTTTGTCCGTAATTTGTTGCTTATCAAGGAAATGTTTAGTATATTATTAACTCTACGGAAATACATTTTTATATTTGTTTGTATCTGAAATATTATTTCGCTTACGTATCAAGAAAGCAAATATTTTTAGATATAGCTTTTAGAAGAAAAGAAAGATAAAGAAAACAGAACGGAAATATAACGTATAAAAATATTTTGGGATGTACAAGAATTAGTACTTTACTATTAAACAAAACAACAGTTAAGGAAACTAAACAGAACATAACAGCGGAAGATATTTAGACAGCGTGCATGTTACGGGCACATTAATTTAATATACAGGGTGTATCTTTATATTTAGGTTATAGAATAAAGATTATTTAAAAACAATTGAATAATAAAGTAGGATATACAAGAGTTGTTATTTTCAGGGATATTAACACAAGTTTCGGCGCTGGGCGGGGTGACCCGGAAAACGGGATTTGAGGGAACGGAATGCTTACTGAGATGCACTAAGTTAGTCCACACTTTAAAAACACTTATAAAATAAAAATTAATAATAAATTAAGGAAGAAGAAAAGCATGCATAAGATGTAATCAAAATTATTTAAGATAAAACTAAAATCGAAGGAAAACTAGTTAAAATCAGACAAGAAGCGCAAAAGTAATTAAGATTGATATATTTCTTTTTTTTCATGGCTTTCAAAGTGTAGACTTTTATGGTATGGACGAGCAGTCGATTAACTCCATAAAAACCATACAATTAGACACCAAAAATAAACGACTGCGCGCCTTTGTGAGGTGAAAATGGCAATGGAACCAGATTTAAAAATACTTATATGAAAATTTTTACCGACAGACATGCAATATAGTAACAAACACTCTTCAAAACGAAAAATCCCATGCTATGAGGGCCACATCTTTAGGAAATTACGTAAATTAATATCATGTTTAGTCCCTAATTATTTTTTTACAAATTCTTAAAATTTTCCTAATGATCAAAAATGTATGATTTTACTAGTATGCAAGTGATTTGTTATTTTTTTTCTGTAATGTTTTCCGATATCAGTCAATGACATAGTTTTAATTTTTTAAATTGCAATTACATGCTTAAAATTTTCATGCTCATGAATTGTCTATACCTTGTCTACGACTGAGGTTTTTAATTATTACCTTTCATTTTTTGACCATCACTTAGAGAGCTTAAAGAGCTAAATCTACTAAATTACACTTAAAACGAGTATAGTTTAAACACTGATCGTTACTTAACATCGAACATAACGTGTGCAGAAATGATATTCCTCATTTTAATGTAATTTTTTTAATGAGTAATTATTTTAATGACAGTAAATATTTTAATGAGTCTAAATTTTTATTTCTACGTTTATTCTTTTGGTCTTAAATTATTGTCAGCTTGCATTTTCAAAATAAAGTTTTAGTTATAATGGAATTAGAAAGATAAAGCTAAGAAATAAAATGGCGTTAGCGTAGAAAATGACAGTATGCGAACACAAAGGCTTTCTTCGAGAAGCTTGATCCTTGAGGATCACATAAGATCCTTTGTTTCAAAGAACGTCATAATATGTAAGAAAAAAGGTAAAGAGAGGCTTTACATAAGATTCTCCGAATATAGAATCTTTATAGTAAATTTCACCCGAGTAACAAGTACTAAGTTGTAGTTTTTGAGGACATGTTTTTATGTAGGTTGATTTTATTGTGAACCTCGACTTCAATTGATAAGACGGAAAATTGTGGTAAAGCTACGGCCATCATTTCTTACAGTGATAGTCACATAACGTGAAAATAGATAGGCTTATTGAAATTCTCAGATTTAGAAGTAAGCAAGCGATGTTTAGGGCATAATGTTAAGAGTGAAAGCAGATTGAAGACAGTAACAAATTTGAAGTACAATCACATTGTAAGTAAAGTAACGGTCAGTGAGAAATTGCATAGATATTATTAATTATATCGCTTAATAAATTACTAAGCAAATATTAGAACACCAAAAACAATATGATTCCGCTTGTATTTTGTTAAGTAACGAAACACATATTTTAACAAGCACATATCGTTTTTAATGTTATAGATTAACAATATTTTTAAGTGAGAATTTGTTTATTTTTTTACATTGTACCTACTTTTGTTAATTTAACAATGATTTATTTAAAAATACTGAACGAATAAATTCTCACTTCTCGAAATTAATGTCACATTTAAAAACTTACTCTGTAGACAATCAGCATTGAGGAGATCCTTGCATTTCTCGTGGCATTTAACCCCGCATTCAGTACACCTTACTCCTTGCCGCGCGATACCCCAGAGCAAACCTTCGCATTCATAGCAATATGTAGGTGAGGTGGCAGTCCATAGAACAAAGTTATGAGGCGTCGTCGATGAAATGGGATAGATGAGAGCTTGCAGCGTCTTCTTGTATACATGCATTTTCTGGAATACAAATCTCATGTTAGTATTTAACAGTTAAAATAGAGTAAAAAAACTAAAACAATAAATATATTTACTTTTTCTCACATTGTTTTCCACAAACTTGTATAATAATTGCAAGTTACATACATTCTTACCTGTTCCTTTTAGCTCCTAACTATTAAAAAACAAGCAAAAGACTCAAATCGTTACTCTCATCGTTACCATATAGACTTTTTTTTTTACTTTAAATTCTCATTTAAAACCTGTTTTTTGTTCTATTTTTCACCAGTTGTTCCACTTACCTATGGTTGTCACTTCGGAATATTATGCACTGATCTTAGCTTCTAAAATTTATAGTTTTCCACAGACTACATTAAGTACATTTGAGATATTTAGAAAACAGTAACTCACCAATTCTTCATCATTCAAGGTTGCTCTGTGTACAGCTGATGTCAGACCTGCATTCCTCTTAGTAGCTGCCATTGTCTAGATTATAAATAAATTTCAATTAATTACAGTCACAGAATACGTTATTTAGAATTGTTATATTCATTCTATTTGAATACAGTGATTACTAAGTAATATTTTCGTGAACAGCATTTTGTATTCAAATTGCATTATCTACTCATGCCTTAATTGTTAAGCAGTTTCGAAAGCCAGTGTGATTTTTAATAAAAAATTGACAAGATATTTATCAATATAATTTATTGAAATTCTATATCGTGATATTTTTAAAAATGATAGTAAAGTTACAAGAGTTATTTTATATTTTAATGAAGTCGTAGACAATGATTGTAAAATAAATATAATTTTTATAAACGGCTTTATATTTTCAAGACTATTGATGTAGACAGAGAAAGCAAGTGCGATTAAAATTCTTCGTTTATTGCTAGATACAGATAAATTACACAAAGAAGAAGAATATAAATAATCGTGATATAGTTATGCAAGTAACAACAGAGTCGTGCAAGGCTTACAATTTGCATGCATTAAAACAAGATTTTTTCAAAACAGAAGCTATTTTATGCATATCAAAAGCCGTGTCTATAATTTAAATAAGGCATGCATAGAATAGATGTGTTATTGGGACAAAATACCTTGAGAACCTGCGGGTCCGTGGTAAGGATTAAAATGCAAGTACATCATTAATTTTTATTCCAGGAATTTTCGGGAATAATAGTAAGAATAGTTTTGTTTTCATGTCCGCTATAAGGTGACCCCTAAGTAGATATCTTTCAATCAGTTGAGGGCTTCAGCTAATTTGGTACGATCATGTGACTCGGAATTTGGAAAGGAGAGACACAAACAACAAAGAACATTAAAACACCAAAGAAGAAGAAGGTTTACAAAGTTCAGTACTAAATCTTTAACGAGTACCAATTTAAGGAACAATAAATGGAGAGTATAAATATTAATTTAATAGAACATTTCAATCCCGAACTATTTTCATCATAAATTACATGTTTTTTCATAATCTCAGGGTAAGATTGAAATGGAAATACAAACATAAAAGAAATTACAGTAGACGGGGATAATTAACATTGAAATAAAAATCTCTCCATAAATTGTTAGACAGTATAGGAAGTTATCGTTTAGAAAAGACATTTATTACGCGCCTACGTTACTAAGCTCCAGAAAGCGAACGTTGATATGAGCTGAAAACATTAAGGACCAGTTTCAATCTACATTTTAAGTAGACACGTAATATCCCAAACACCCAATAAAAAACTTACCACTAAATTAAAATTTTAATTTAGATTATTAAGTGAATTGAAACCGGCCATAACTAGTTCCATTGGGACTTGTGACTAATGATTTTAATGTAGATTAAAATTTGAATGTTTACTTACAAGTTCAGAGACGAGTGGTATAGATTTTCTTCTCGGTCGTATATCGGGCATGCTGTCGATGTTGCTATAGAACGGGTTATCTCCGGGATGTCTATAAAGTTATGACATTAATAGTAAGCAATTTGTGAACAAAATTGAAAATTCTAAGAGCGTGCGCACACCTGAAACTAAATTATCGCACGACTATTTGGTATAGCTTTGGTTCTTATGAGCTCAAATGGAGGAACAGTTGAATTGGCTGCGAAACAATCGACAATCGACTATTTATTTAGTCAAAGGTGTGCGCCCGCTTTCAACAAACGTTTCCTTTTATTTTATTTCTTGCTTGATATATTTCGTTGACTCAAAGTCAGTTAATGGTCAATGAAGCCTCTCGTCAAGTTAATTTTTCTAAAACATAACTGGGGTCCTAGGTATTCACTTAGATTAATCTTGTCTGTTTCAGAATACCATAATATAAATGAATACGATAATTCAAATAAACGATATCAATCGTCGTCAAAAGTACCAATACATTAGTAAAATGTAAATAACTCTTTATTCAATGTTTATTAACATACCCATTTCCTCGACCACCTTGCTCGTTGAATCCGCCGGAACCATTCTAAAATAAAAAAAAATACAATTAAAAAATGAAAAATAAAAAAACTAAAAAAATAACAAGGTTTATTAAAACGTAAAAAACAATACAAATATACAATTTCACAAATTAGTTATCGTTTGAAGTTTTATTAATTTTAAAGTGTTAAAACAATTGAAGATTTAATCCCTCGCTTGTTAGAGTTAATTTCCACTGCGGTAAAACACGACATTTAAAGAAAAATTGGAATGTCAACACACTAATACGACTCTTCGGACAATCTAAACGTTACTTAAAGGTTTATTGTATCAATAATACTTCAAACGAAACATCTGTTTAAAATAACAAACATTGTAAATTCTATAAACAACTAATTCTATATGGAGAAATAACATCGTATCTTGATTCATTCCTAAAACCCCTTTTACAATCTTCAACCAAACAGCTTAGCCAAGAATATAAAAATCCTGGACTGGGGGCGCTACAATCGCCTTCATTACATCACGTTCCGATACACGTAAACAAATTAGTTCCATATTTTTCCCCAATAGGTTTTTATATTTATGAGTAAGTTACACTTTAACTTCAATAGATGTCACTAGTTTGTGTAAGTATAACCTATTAAAGTATTTAGTAGAAAGCAGAATATGTTATTTCAGCTAAGCAAGAACAGTTTTTTTTTTAATTTCTAACACATTTTTTGATGCAAAATAGCAGTTATATTTTTTTCCAAAAAGTTTTTATGCCATTGTAACTCTACAGTGTAATTTAGCCTAGGCGTTTAAATTTAACGTGCCAGCTAATTTTACATCGATGACTACACAAATCTAAGCGATGTGTGAGCTCTAATTGTATATCAGTTACATTAACACGTACTAAGTTTTAATTTATCTAGATTGTGAATGTCAAATAGGACATCGCTGTATTACTCGATTCTAAGCGATGAGAGTTCAAAATGACTTTTATGTTTGTTTTACAAACGTGTATTGATAAACACAATATGAATAGATTTCGATTTATTAATAGATCAAATAGGAGAACTTTTTTTTATAATTTGAATAAAATATTGTTTTTTTATCTGTGTACGTTACGATATGAAATGATATGACGGTGAATGGTTTTGTACCGAAATGTTCCAGGTTTTCACTGCTCTCTGAAAAATTACATTGTTTCCTCCAATAAAAGAGATATATATGTTTAGTTGTGAATTCTTGACTGCATGAATCTTACTTTCTATTCACTGTATATTACGCATAAGCAAGTACCTACACCTTATTTTTATGTATACTGTTTATGTAAAATTTTCTATATATTATATCTACTAAAGCTATATATCAAACGGCATTATAAAATATAACATAGAAAATTTCGATAACTGTTTATTGCCTTACTGAATTGAATTAGTTATAACTTGTACAAAAAAACATCTTTCATGAATATTATTATTACTTATTCGTAACAAAATCAACATAATAATGACACTTATTCGTTGAGTCAAGTATGATTTCACAACCACTGTTCATAATGTGTTGGCAGTTTTCATTAAATCGACAAAAAAAGTTGTTTATTGAGAATTGGGTATGATAGATAAGTCGAATCTTGTAGATAATTGTATAATATAGTTGTATACGCATAATAGGTTAAATATACTGAATATATGTAAGTTTGAATTGTAAAAGAGTAAAGCAGATTACTAATTTTGCAATATTAGAGCTCAGTTTTTAATTCTTTAAGAATATTAATAGTGACAGTAATAGTTCACATACGAAGACCTAGTAATTAACTCTTAACTCTAATCTCATGAAATTTCTGCATTAAATAACTTACACCTGCACTAACTTTGTCCTTTTCTGTAGAGGGCGTAGTCGCAACTGGAGTTTCGGTAGTTTTTTCTTCAGCTTTCCTATCCTTGAGTGCCTTTAACAATTTCCATTTACTTCCAACTTGCGGTTCTTGTTGCGGCGCTGGCTCTTGCACTCGCTGAGGTTCTTCGTGTATTTGAGGCATATCATAATCATCGTCAAACTCATCTCCACTCTGCACTGGACTGTCTGGTCCCGATGTTTCACCAGATCCAGAGTCATAAGATTTATCTTCCTCGTATTCTTTATCACCTTCTTCCGAATCATGTTCTTCCATGACCGGAAACGTTGTAACGTCTTTCCATGATTCCTTAGTTGGAAGTTCGTCATATTTTGTTTTAATAGTTGCTGTTTTAAGTTGCAATTCTTGTAGCACAAATGACATCTTTTCTTTAAGAATTTCTTTTGTTTCTTCGGGATATTTCTCTTTAGTTTCTGGTTCTTCCATTAATGTTCTTTCTTTGTCCGTTTCTTGTTGAGATTGATTCTCCATCTCCTCTAGTTTTCTCAACTCGTAGCAATACCATTCATCTTCAGAATCAATACTGTCTTCAGTACTTTGCCTTCTAGATGAAACACGAGAACCACTTCTCCAAGAATGAGTGCTTCGACTATCGTCATCATCATGCTTGTTAGGAATATCCAAACTTTGCTGATGACGTGTAGAAAACTTACTAAATAAAACTCGACCACTATGCATAGAAGGACTACGTTCAGGGTAAGAGACTAATTCTTCTTGTGAGGTGTTATTAATAATTTCTGGAGCGTTAAGCTTACCAGGTTTCTTATCCCTATCATTTTGAATGGGTGATTCCTGATTTCCTTCGTCCTGAGAACTCGTGTCTATTTTGGGTGGAGACTTGTCACTTATTTGTTCATCGGAAATTGACGTTGATTTGCGCAGGCGATATTTTCCTAATGCACGTGATACTGCAAATTCCTGAGAAGCTCCATTGTACGGTTTATTATTTTCGTTACCGTCTTCATCGGTGGTAGAAGAAGCTTTTTTAACATCTCCAATAGTCGCAAATATCGAGGTTGGAGATTGATTATCTGTTTTTTCTACATCTTCAAATGGATCTACGTTTGAAATATCTGTATCAATATCTAGTTTTTCAATTTCAGATATATTGTCTTTTTTCATTTGGCTCACTCTTGCAAAGTGGAAGTCAATGTCATCACTCTTATCACGTGGTAAGACAGCATTCGTAACATATTTCTCATTTTCCTCTATTACACTTTCAATGTTTTCTTCATTAAACTCTTCTTTTTGTTGCAATTCCTGAATCATTTGCTGCTGTTCTACAATTTCTTGGTTATTAGATTTTCTTTGTTTTTGTTTTGTCGGGACTTTAGCAAAGACGTTACCTTCATGTGTTGAATCAGAAAAGACACTGTCACTATCTTCCGATTGAGCACTCGATCTTCCTCCAGACCATTCTGTTTCTGATGTTTCAGGATCCGATAAAGATTGATGACTGGTTTGTTGTTTTCGTCTGGCTTTTTGAAGTAAGCCTGACATCGATGCAACCAAATGATACTTTTTTTTTCTTCTCTGTGCCGATAAAATTCTCTCTTTAAGAGATTTCTCCGGTTGTGGTTGTTCCATGTTATCTACACCAGATGGCAAGGAGTGCGATCTATGTTTTTTTGGCAAATGTAAATCAGGCAACCACTGGCTCATTGAAGACATTGCAGATCGTAACGATGAAGCTCTTTTAGGTTTTTTTGATGACTTGTCCTGACTTTTTAGTTTGAGATTTGAAGAAATTGATAAATATCCCGACTCGGAAACTAAAATCCCACTTGAATCAACAAATTGCTCCTTTCTTAAAGAAGTGTGATCCGCATCTGGTGTTTTATATTCTTGAACTTCTCGAATTACATTACCATTACGCTCATCATATTGCTGCTGTTTAAAATACTCTTGTTGCAGTTGATTCTGAAAGTGTTTTCTTTCACTGATGCTTAATGATCTAGACTTCAGACTAGCTGTTTCTATCGAACTAGTCGGAGATCGACTACCACCACCTTGCCATGACAATTGGTCTTCTAGAGACACTCTTTTTGGAGAATCATACCGACTCGAGGTAGGATAATAGGATAAGGCATCAGTTAGACTTCCTGGTGGGTAGCCAGTACGATGATTCGTAACTTTATAACCGTTTTGATAAAAATGGGGGTCATTTGGACCAATTGTGTTAGCTCTAATTAAAGGCTTTTTACCAGCACTTGCTGCAGATAAGACAACTGTTTGTGCGTGATAGCTAGGTTCAGGCGGATAAGATTCAATTGCTGATTTAGACATTGTCTGAGAAATTTCATTTCCGTCCAATATCTCTGCAAAATTGCTTTCTTCTCCCAACATACCTCTTGGAGTACTATACACTGTAGTAAAAATAGGTTGTCTGTTTCCTGCTACCGAATAAATTGATGGCGCTTCGTTTCCGTAGTAGTATTCACTCATATTGGTTATAGCTTGATTTGAGTATGACATATCAGGTTTTAGGAATCCAGCATCTATTTTGTCTTGTAACCTACTTAGATCTTTAGATTCCGAAATATCGTTTCCTTCCTTTAGAAAATTGTAGTTGATTTTTCCACCTTGTGCTTCAAATGCATAGGAATCAACTAACGTTTCTAAATATGGCTTTGGGTCAACTTCATAAGCTTTTTGAATAGCTTGGGGAGAGACCATTTTTAATTTTTGAGATTCGTAATTGCTATGTGAAGTTCTCGATGTCTTTGGTGATCCAGGGCTTTTTTCAAGACTGGACCAACCACTCATAGATGACAGTCCAGAATCTGATTTCGCTGCTACGATATTAGTTGAATCTCTTTTTAAGAGTTTAGGAGAGGTTTTTGGAGATTTCGGAGACCGAGGGCTTAAACGTAAAGAATCCATGGGAATTGATCCTGTTGATAACATCGCTTGTCTTAAAGGTATCTCACCGTGGTTTTCAATAGAAGAAAATAATTCAACTCCATTTGGAGGAGCTGGTGGCGGAGGACTTGGTGATTTATTCAATCGAGATTCATCATAATTTAAACTGTCAATAGGTTCTGCATATATATCATGAACAGAAAGTGGTGAATGTTGACTAGAAGAAGATTTGTATACATCTTCAAATGTTTGAGATGTTTTAGATGAATAGTAATTTTGTCGGGTAGTGTCTTGTAGTTGATAATTTGAACTATAATCGAAACGTTCCCTTGACAACGCGCTAGGAGATTTATTTGACTTTGCAGCATTTATTTCCGCATTAGCGACAGCTGAACTATAAGCTAAACGCCCTGTTACAGTAGTATATGGTTCTGTAGTCGTTCTTTCTGGTACAAATTTTCGTCTGGGTGATATATTTGCTGGTAAATAATCTAATTTTCTTTCTGGCGTTGTGTTCTCAGTTAAAGATAATCTTGAAGGAGACTTATCTCTTGGAAGTGACTCCTTGGGTACATTCAAAACGAAGTCATCAAAACTTTTCATCATCTCGTTTATACCCCAGTTGTCTCCGCCAGAGTAAACACTTTTTAATTGCTCGTTTATTATGTTTCCATCTTCAGCCAATGCTTGCGCTTCAATTTCTCTATCCCGATTAGATGCCATTTTTGTGTTAGGACTAAGAAGTCTAGTTTTCAAGTCTTTTAACTCTCTCGAATCTTTGTGTAATTGGTTTGTCAATCTATCTAATTCATGTAATTTATCTACAGTGATTTGATCTATTGTACTTAAAGTAGACAGATGTACCAAATCTCTTTCACTAATACTGGGTCCACCTTGTAAACCACAGTAATCTTTGTAGTCGCTTGCGCTATATACTTGTCGGGATGAAGGTGGCATTAGTTCCATATCGGGTTCTTCGGGCGCCTCCCAGATCATGCCAAGCTGCGAATTCGGCAAGGAACTTTCTTCACAAACTAGGTCGTCCCTATAAGCTTGATTTAAGCTTTTATAAAACGCCTCATCAGATTCCATGACTTCATCTTGAGGATTTATCAATACAGAACGCCCCACATCCAAGCCCTCTTCTATGCCATCTTCAACGGAACCGTTTCCTAGTATTTCTCTTATAACTTCTAGCCTCGTCATCGAATCTCTAGATGTCACCGTACGACACGTATAAAAATCCAGTAAAGTCGAAATTACACCCTGTTGATCTGCTAGTAGTGCTTCTAATCTTTCCAATCTTTCCCACATTCTAACATATTCTTGGCTGAGCAGGTCCAGAGCTCGCCAAGCGTATTTAAGTTCTGTTTCGAGTATATTAAGTCTCGTACCGAGGCGTTCCATGTAATCACTGATGATATAATCGCCTGAATACGGTGGAAGGTCTGGGGGAAGTGAAAGAGAGCCGCAATCGTCCATATCTCCCTCGGCAACCCCACTCCCTCCTCCCTCGTTTTCCTCCATCGCGCCGCCTGCGCCTGCTGCGGCATCTTGAATGTCGCGCATCATCTTGGTACTGGATAGTGGTTTCGCTGTAACATTTTTCACTGTGACTCATCCCATATCGTTTTGCTTTTGACACGTTTCACACAAAACCGTTTGACGTCACTAATTGTTTTCCGTAATGTCATTTTAAGTCTTTAAAGTTTAACACATTTTTTAATTTCACTTTTAACACTAATCACTTTCAACACTGCGTATATATTTTGTACTTCGACGGAATTTAATTGATAATTTCACATCAAAAATATACTTTGGTAAATATTTCTATATCACTTTTCTGCAAATATTAAGCACGGTTAATATTTGTTTGGTAGCGTTCTGATTTGAACATAAGATAATTCTTATGAACAAACCAGCGGAACGAAAGGAGAGGAAGACCTCATTGGAATGTGTTAACTGGCTGTACTTTCGAAGTATTTTAAATCAAACAAATTGTTTAATTTAAAAACAAATTTCATTTAAAAGGTTATTTGTACATAAATAAATTCAATTAAACTTGAAACCCGAGACTAGTTAACCCATTCTTTGAAGAGGCAGCTTAGCGACTCATGTACGATTTCACATGAACAAAAGTTCAGAGGTGAAAGGTGTGCAATGGATTGGTAAGGAAAAAGGATGGAAATGGATTGCACCATCGCTTCACTGAAATTAATGGAAATATTCATTTAACGATGAATTTTTAATTTAAAAAGAGATTTTAAAAGTATTATTTCCACGATTGCGTTTTGTTTTAATAAGGTAACTTTTTCAACGCGTCTTGTTTGTCTCCACTTATAGTAACGTTCGATCCAAATTTATTAAAAACTGCATTTGTAACGTTTTATTTAACCTGTTACGTTTAAAAGTTTTGTAATTACAGTATTTAGTGGCATTTAAAAGCGCGGTATTTTTCAACGCAACCATATACTGAGATTAGTTAAAATTGTTTTATCAATACTAATATAAGCGGGAAGATTTGTATTTTTGTATGTATTGAAATAACTCAAAAACTACAGGGCCGATTTTAAAAATTCTTTTACCGTTGAAAATGTTATTTATCTGTGAGTAACAAAGGTTACATTTTTAAATTTCTAGTAGGCGAATTCACGAGGAATAGCTAGTATATATTACATTTATATTGTTAACATGTGAATTGTAAGACATTTTTTGTGTTATTTCAATGTATAAACTGGAACAAAATAACATAAGTATGAAATAATAGTTTTTTAAAAACCTTATTTGAAGTCAATTATTGAAAGGTTGGAATAAAGCCAATAAAAGTTTTGCTTAACACTAATTGGATTTGTAGTCATCTTAAAGAAAATTAGATTGGAATTCTTAAAGTCTGACCGTAAATTTCGAAATTATATTTGTAATTCTTACGGTATTATTTATGACCAATTCAAGTGAATTATCTGTCAACTAGCTTTGGCCGAATAAAATGAAAAAAAAAACTTATCAAGTAAAAAAACTTATCAAATAATAGTAGTAATCAAGTAAAGTAGTCTTCAAAATCATTCGTTACACACACATTTACGAAATTTTCTCTCCTGCCAATTATTTTTTGAAACCTATCGATCTTCATTTTACCCTTTTATACACTTTCCAACGTTCGAAAACGGGCAAATGACGGCTACTAAATGTATAAGGATATTTTAGTTCACAGTCTGAGCTGAATATTTCAAATACTAAACGTTCGTGCTTGAATGTTATTATGCCACGGACGTTTATTGCCACGATGAAAATAATTTTTGTAAAAGTCACTATCTATACTTATAACTTAGCTTACTTATAAGTAAGCTATTGTTACATTTATATCGATTGATAAACACGTAAAAAACTTAGTTGTATAGTATAGTTAAAAATAACTTTATATAACTAGCTGTTGCTCGTGACGTCGCCCGCGTGAAATTAAAAAAAAATATATATAAACATAGCTTATGTTATCCACTGATAGTCTAGCTTTTTAATGTTGAAAGAATTTTTGAAATAAGTCCAATAGTTTTTGAGTTATTTTAATACATACAAAAATCCAAAAATGCAAATCTTTCCTCTTTATAATATTAGTATAAATAGTAGAAATAAAAAGTAGACTATGTTCTTTATATGACTCAAAATACTGTAATGCAGTTTCAATTTTTTTACAGGAGTAGTGGGCAAACTAGCTGCGTAAACACCGTGATAAACGACTTCCATGGATATTCATAATACTAGAGGAATTACAGTTACGTTGACGACCTTTAAAGATATTTTAATATTTAGGAATTATTTCTTTTTAATCCTAACTTAGAGCGCGCGGCACATCCTTAACTAAACTATCGCACAACTGTTTATTCTCTCTTTGATTTCTATGTAGAAGTGCGCATACTACTCGATTTTTAGTTGTGCAACTAAACAGTTGAATTGCATGCAAAACAATTGACAATCGTACGAAATTTTAAATCTTTTTTTTACTTGCATAAGTAAGCTAATAATCTGTACTGCAACGAATATTGAAATATCTTTTATGTTCTTTGATTTTTTAATAGCTTAAAAACTAGCATTAAATCAAAACATGTTTTCAAAACAAACGTAAGGATATCCTTGTATTCTTCAATAAACACATTATAAGTACATTTGTTTCTACAATTACATCGTGAGAAATAGAAAATTTATGCGGACACGATGCCAAGATAGTATGAATTCAAATTGAATCAAGTTGTACACTTTAAATGGGCATGGGATTATTATGGACGAGTAGCTGAGAGAATGCAGCTGTTGGCAGATATTCAAGATTCGACACAGATGTTCACTTTACGCAGCTGGTTAACTTTCTCTACGTCACAAGTCTTTTGTTATTCAAACATGAAAATTGGAACAGTTGTGTGCTTTATGTTCTGTGGTTAGTGTGCAGACCATAGGTTAGAAACCTTTTATTAACATCTCTGTTTTTAAAAATAAAGTTTGGTTGTCATTTATTATGATCATCAAAGTAAGATGTATTTTTAAATCTGTTCAGTATTTTAAATAATAATGAAATTGTAATTACAATATGAACCAATTTTATAGTATGACACTAAAGTACGAGCTGTAATATGTAATAAGTATTTATGGCACTAAGATTAAATGAAACTCAGCATTGCAGCGAAACGACTGCGTATTCCACTGACGTTGAAAATTGAGATAAATTCAAGAGTGTTAATTTGTAAACTAAACACTCAACTCACACGTAATTTGACTCAAAA